ACTACTACTACTACTACTACTACTACGACTACGACTACGACTACGACTACGACTACGACTACGACTACGACTACGACTACGACTACGACTACTACCAATACTACTACGACTACTACGTCTACTATTACTACGACTACTTCTGCCACGATTACTGCGACGCTTACTACTACTACTACTACTACTACTACTACTACAGCTACTTCTACGACTACGTCTCCTACTACTAACACTGCTCCTACCACTACTACGACTACTGCTACTACTACTACTACTACGACTACTACTACTACTACTACTACTACTACTACTAGTACTACTGCTACTACTACTACCACCACAACCACCACCACCACGACTACTACTACTACTACTACTACTACTACTACTACTACTACTACTACTACTACTACTACTACGACTACTACTACTATCCGCAATCCTTACCGCCCTGGATCTGCTGCCCTCTCTCCCTCAGCCGCCCTTCCCTCCCCCGGATGCCTACCCCAGACCCTCCTTACCCCTCCACCCCATCTCCCATCCCCCTCCTCCTCCCCCTCCTCCTCCACCATCCCCCTCCTCATCCTCCTCCTCCTCTCCTCTCTTTTTCCTCCTCCTCCTCCTCCTCCTCCTCCTCCTCCTCCTCCTTCATCCTCCTGCCTCCTCCTCTCCTCCTCCTGTTCTCCTCCTCCCCCTCCTCTTCCTCTCTCCTCGTCCTCCTCGTCGTCCTCCTCCTCCGCCCCCTCCTCATCATCATCATCATCGTCATCATCATCCTCCTGCCCCCCTCCTCTCGTCCTCCTCCCCCTCCCTCCCCTCCTCCTCCTTCTCCTCCTCCCCTCCTTCTCCTCTCCTCCTCCCTTATCCTCCTCATCCTCCTCCTCATCCTCATTCTCCTTCTCCTCCTCTGCCCCCCCACCCCTCTTCCTCCTCATGCCCCCCACCCCTCTTCCTCCTCCCCCTCCTCCTCCTCCTCCTCCGTACCTTTTTCGTATACCCCTCTGGGTGGGCTGGGAGTGTCGCCTGACGCTTCCTCAACTTTCACCACGCTGAAGCTTGAGAAATGTGCAACGGTTTTTAAGATGGAGGGCGGCCCGCTTTCAACATGTGGCTCCCGCCTTAGCGCCGCACAGTCTTCAAAGGTCGCAACAACTGTACTGATGGAGGGCGGGTCGTTATCAAAATGTGGCTCTCGCCATAGCGCCGCGTACACTCGATTCAAAAGTTTGCCACAGCTTCAAAAATGGAGGGCGGCTCTTTTTCGAAATGTGGTTCTCGCCCCAGCGCCGCGCGCATTCGTCTTAAAAGTGCGTGTGTGACAGGTTCAAGCAGGAAGGGCGGTGGTTGTTCAAAGTGTGGCTCTCGCCGTAGTGCCGCGCACATTGTCAAAATCCCAGGAATGGTTTTCTGGCAAGATTTAGGATTGTCAGGACGCACCAGTCAAGTTGATTTGCGGCGTTGAAGTCCCAGGAACCGAGATCTGGTACGACTTTGGCTTGCCAGGACGCAACAATCACGTTGACTCGTAGCGTTGAAGCCCCTGGAACGTCTTTCAGCACGATTTAGGAATCTCAGGGCGCAACAGTGACGTCGACCTGCGACGCTGAAATCCCAGGAACTGTCTTTCTGGCACGATTGGGGATTATCAGACGCTTGTCTTCCAATGCATTTGCCGCAATGACAAGAATTCCTTGTTAGTGACATATGACAAGGCAACTTGGAAGGAGGGTTGTCTGCAACACCGTTGATGCGTTTTGCGTTTACACTGGTCATCCTCCTTCTCGTCCTAAACCTCCTCCTCCTCCTCCTCCTCAACCTCCTCCTCCTCCCTGTCCTGCTCCTGCTCTGCCCATGCCTCCATCCAGCTTCCTGCTAAATAACTGTTCCCTGTCGAAACCCTAGACGTGTTGGTAGGACGGCCTGGGCGTTTCGCATGAGATCCCTCACCATTGCATGAACCTTCAAATTTTCCACAGCTTCACAGATGAAGGCGCGTTGTGTTCTACATGCGGCTCTCGCTATAGCGCCGCGCACATTCGTTCCAAGACTTTGCGGCAGCTTCACAGATGGAGGGCGGGTCGTTTTCAAAATGTGGCTCTCGCCGTAGCGCCGCGCACATTCATCTTAAAAGCGTGCGACCCTTTCAAGGATGAAGGGCGGTGCTTTTTTAAAGTGTGGTTCTCGCCGTAATGCTGCGCAGATTCACTTTGAAAGTTTGCAACCGTTTCCAGGACTCCCATGGTCGGAGTCCAACGAATGGCGTTTGCAATATTGCCAAAACGCAGCAGTCACGTTGACTCCTGGTATTAAAGTGCCACGTAGGGCTTTCTGGTACGATTTAGGAGTGTCAGGACGCAACAGTGACCTGAATTTGCGACGCTGGAATCCTACGAATTGTCTTTTAGCACGATTGGGGATTCTGAGACGCTCGTTTTCCAGTGGGGCATTTGCCGAAATGTAAGCAAATTCTCGTCGGGCCATATGAAGAACGAACTTTGAGGGAGGTTTTTATTGCAGCATCGTTGACGCATCTTGGGTTTACACTGGTCCTGGTCCTCCTCCTCCTCCTCCTCCCACCTGTCCTCAGGCAAGGGAGACGACCTAGGACCATGACCTCAGGGAATGGGGATCTGGGACAGGAGGAGGCTCCACGCCAGCCCAGCGGAGAGGAACCAGCGGCGAATCCCTCCTGAACGCCGCCGTCCGCTCCTCCAGCGTCTCTGGAATCTGATACTCCGCGCGGCCCCCCCCAACGGGGCATTTGGTCAAATCGAACGAATCCCTGCCAGCCCCACCCCCACCGGGTACGTCAACCTCGCCCCGGTGGCCGCCCCTCCCCCTGCAGGTAGGGCTGTGGGCGCCGTCATCCTCGCATGTTTCGCAGAACGCATCCCCGCCTGGAGAGGGTGCAGTGGGAGAGCTGCCTTCCCCTGTCCCAGTCGGGATCGGGGTCGAGGATGGGGGGAGGGGGAGGAGGAGGAGGAGGAGGAGGAGGAGGAGGAGGAGGAGGAGGAGGAGGAGGAGGAGGATGAGGAGGAGGAGGAGGAGGAGGAGGAGAGGAGGAGGAGACAGGAGGAGGAGGGGGGAGGAGGAGGAGGAGGAAGGAGGAGGAGGAAGGGAGGAGGAGGAGGAGGAGGAGGGGAGGAGGAGGGAGGAGGGAGGGGGTAGGAGGGAGGAGGAGGTAGGGAGGAGGGGAGGAGGAGGGAGGCGAGGCAGGAACGGAGGAGGTGGGGAGGGGAGTCGCGACCCTGCGCTGGGGCCACCCGCGGCAAGAAAGCCCCGCGCGCGCCGCCGAGGCGCGGCCGCCGGCGCTTCTGAGAGCGGACGCCGGCCGCGCGCGCTGCGTCTGGCAGGCAGCCTGGGTGTGCAGGCGGTCGGGTGCAGTGGAGGCCAGTCCACAAGAGACCGTCTACAAGAAACCCGACCCTGAGACCCCAGGACGTCCATCGACTTCAGGCGTGGGATGGTCGCGCGTTTCATCGCAGAGTCATCGAAACCGAAGAAACCCAGGGCACCATGGAGGCGAGCAGGGTGTTTCTTGCCATGGGACTCCACCTGTACGGGATGGTTCTGACGATGATGAGCGCGCGGCCTCCGCCCGAGATCCACCACGCTCGTCGAGGCCGTGCCCGTCCAGGTCTCGGAACGAGCAGCGAGCAACGAGCACTCGCGCGGCAAATAATACTATCTGCACCATCAGTGTTGGCCGTGGATCTGACGACTTGCGGTGCGCCGCGGCCCTTCTCGGAGGTGCCGGCCCACAGATCTGTGGAAGACCGTGGGCATGCTGGCCGTGGCGCTTTCGACCTGCAGTTCGCCGCAGTCTTCCCCAAAAAAATGCAAACCCAGAGTTTGGAGGGAGGGGGAGGGGGAGGAGGAAGGGGAGGGGGAGGGGAGGAAGGAGGGGAAGCGAGGGAAGGAGGGAGGATCGGGGAAGGGGTGGGGAAGAGGGAGGAGGGGGGAGGTGAGCATGTTGGCGGTGGATCTGACGACTTGCAGGCCGCCGCGGGTGTCCCCAAGGGTGCCGACCTGGGCACGGCAAGTTCGCATCGTGCCGACCCCGGTTCTGCCTCCTGACACCGCGGGGGTCATTCCACCTCGAACGATCGGGCGCTTCCGAAACGGCCCATCGTTCAACATCGACCGATTCTGGGTCGCGGGCGGCGCTCAACCTCGAACGCCAGCGGCGGGGTCGCCGCCAGTCGACACGACGCGAACCTGCCGCAGCTGCCTACGCTTACAGTCTCGTCGCTCCGCCGTCTCTTTGGGGGTCCCGCGAGGGGCAGCGCTCCTCCCGCTCGGGGCGGGGGCGGGGGGCGCGCGCGCACCCCTCGCCGGGGAGCGGGGCAGGCGCGCGCACCCGCTGCCGAGCAAGGACGAACAAACACGACGGCTCCGAGTGCGGGCCGCGCGCGCGCCTGCGCGTGCTCTCTCGCGGGCCGAGCAGAAATTTGGTCCACGCGGCCCCGTTGCGGGGCGCCCGCGGGCTCTGAACCTATCCGAAGTCCAGTTTTGGACTCGCGGGGCCCGGTCGCGGCACCAACCACCGCACGGTGGGGGGGCGCGGCGAGGATGAGTGTTCCTGCCCGACTGCGCCAAGAGCACGCAGAAGGCACCTGCGCACTACCACCATCCCAAGGCCAAGGACGGCCCCGAGCAGGCGTGCGGCGGTGGTGCACCGATGCCTCTGCGGAAGAGGGCACGGCCACGACGGCGCAAGCGGGCGTTCAGGCACAACGGTCGCCAGGGAACGAGAAGCGGAGTGGGCGCGCCTGCCTTTTCGCCACCGCCCGCCGAAGGGAGATCCCCCAGCTCCGCTCCGACGCCGTGGTCGGGAAGGCTCGGGCGAGTGCGCAGGGAGAGCCTGAAGAAGGCGGGAGGAGGGTTTGGTTGCGACAACTTCAGCCACTCGACCAATGTCCCGTTTTCTGGGCCTTGGTTCCCCTATGAAGGCGGCCAGGCTCCCGCTCGGAATTTCGAGTTTACGTCCAATTGCGATGACGAGGACGGCTGAGAAAAAGGATAAACAAAACAACGCTAGCAATAGGAACGACGACGCGGCGAGGGGTGGAACGCGGTCAGCGGTCCACCCCATCCTGACTCACCGCCTCGTCAGCCGCAAATGACGCTGCTGGCGAGAGTGGCACCAGTGGGAGGAAGGCACGGGGCACGACGGAAAGGAAAGAGAAGCGCGGGGGGGGAGGCCAAGACGCACCCAGGAACCTCCAAAACCGCAGCGGGCTTATCGCGAAAATAAAGCGCCGGACGAAAACAAGGGGTGAAGCACACACCCCGTCTAAGAAACCTGGCCAAGGGTTCCTAATTTCAGTTCGCCCTAGGACCCCACCCAAAAAAAATGGAAACACATCTGGGAGCCAAAAGCAACAACTACTGCAAGATGCTGGACAAGGGCAATCGCGGGAAGAAAGACGCCCCGCTCTTAGGCAGAGCGGCCACGCTGGGCCCTCTTCACAAGTTGTCGAGGAGAGACTTCACGTAGTCGTTAATGTGGCACGTCTTTGCCGCAGAGATATTCACGCGCACGTGGGAATTGAACATATGGTAGGCGTTGCACAACAATACGCACGTCGCGCACAAAGCAGCAGGATGGCGCAATGCATACGCACGACGTCCATGGCCCCAAAGCAAGGATGGATAAGAACAGAACTCCAGAAGAAGATCGAGCCGCAAAAATGAAGGAAGCGAGAAACGCGAAAGAACGCGACGACGGAGAGACCTCGTCGGGGGCGAGCGCGAGGAGACCTTTTGCAGTCTGCTGGAATCTCGATCCAACATCGGGCGCCGATGCGAGCCGCTTGCCTGTCAAATCTCAGCCTCCGAGAAAGCATCGGCACGGGGGCGGTGACCTGCAAGGCAAATTGAATCCTCTCGCGCTGCACTTTGGCGACGAACCACGCGGCGCAAATGCTCGCGCCCAGCGACGCCGTCGGCCCCAGCGCAAACAGCAAGTCCCAAAAAATACAGCGCCACGGAGACACCAGGCGCCACTACAGGCGCGGCGCGGCGCGGACATCGCGGCGCGGGGTCGCAGAAATTCCGGTCGCCACAATGGAGGGTCGCCCTTCCGCGTCAGAGAGAAAGACCTCGGTGAGCGCCCAACGCAAAGCTCCCCTCATGCACGGGGAAGCGACCTCGCAGGGTGCCCAGCACAAATCCCGCCTGGCCTCCTGCGCGAGGAAGCGATCCCGAGGAGTGCCCAGCAGAAGGTTGCCCTCCTACGCGGGGAAGCGACCCCGCCGGCTGCCCAGCAGGAGGCCCCCCTCCTTCCGTGAGCAAGCAGCCTCGCAGGGCCCCTAACAGAAGGTTGACCTCTCGCGCGGGCGCCAGCGCCCGCCCTGCACCCCCCCCCCCATCGACCCCCTTGCCCCCCACACCCCGGAAAAGGAGAAGGCTCGGGGAGGGCAGCGAGGACCCCTGACACAACAGAGACGACAGGGCTGGCCGCCAAAAAACACACGTCAGCGCCGGCTCACCCGAACGCCCCGGCCTGAGCCGTCAGGGGCTGACCGATAGCAGTCGCAAGCAAGTTTCGGCGGCGGGGCGCCACTGTCGTCTTGGGGCGGTTTGCGCGACACCCCCAAGCACTACCTCCCCGGGAGCCCTGTCTCGGGCTCGCATGGCACTCCGTCGCCCCGCCAGGGGGCCGCGGTGGACTGTTAGGCGCGTCCTCACAAGGGCCAGCACGGCCTTGTCAGGATGAGACTGCTGGGGGGCCACCTGCGCGGGAGGCGCCCGCGGCCCTTTCCCACCGCTGCCCACGCGCGCAAAGTTCCACTGGCCCCCTCTCGACAAGTTCCCCATTAATGGCGCGAGCACGTTGGCCCTTGCTTCTCGTCGCGCCGCGGTTTGGAGCACTTGCCCCGCACAGTAAATTATCCGCGGGACTTGTTGCGGGCACCCAACTGGTCACCCGGCCACGTCGCCTCTTCCGCCCAGTGCTCTGGGCGCTGCCACGGGCCATTTCTGCGCGTTGCGCGGCCCTCTCTGAATCTGGTCGCTGCAGACCCCCTGGCTGGAGGGCATTGCCGAGCAGGCCCCGCGGTCTCCAAACCATGCCCACGCGGGCCGTTTGCAGGCGCATACTTTGCGGGACTACAGCACACCTGTCTTCCAGCCACTCATGGGTCTTGTTTGGGTCGCCCGCTCCTATCCTGTCGTGCACTCCCTCAGAAAATACGGGGTTGGAAGACGTTCTGTCTGCGCCCTGAACAGGAACTCAAGGATGGAAGACCCGGGCGCGGTTTCAGCCCTCAACACACGCGCCGGGGCTCATATCTTCCATCACCATGGCACTGGGGCGGTAGGATTCAAAATTGTAGCCGTCTGCGTCTTCGAGCCTGTAGCAATCCAGGAGCATGACAAGGATCAATTGTCCTTTGGCTAGCCGACAGACGGTCCTAGCCTCCACCTTCTGCACGATGACTCCCCTCCTGAAGTCGTCGCTACTCAAGCTTGCACTGTGGACCGCGGCGATCTTCATGCCGAGCATCTCTAATTCGACACCGTCCACGAGGCACTCGCAGGTCGTCACAGCACCCTCAATCGCATGGGGGCGCGAAACGCACTTCTGGTCTGCCAGACGCAGAGCACGTCGTCTCGCACACATCCTGTTTCAATCCTCGGAACGCGGAACATCTGGCAGGCCTCGGTACGCAACCTTTTAGGGCTCCTTGAACTTCTGTTGGTTCAGTAGCACTCGCACTGCATATCCGACGGCAGGCTGCCGCTCGTGGTTCGACGATCCATCGCCCGCGCCGTGAGCTCGTGCATCAGAGGAGGGAGGGTGCGCGCATCTCTGTCGGTCGTCCTGGGTAATGCTAGCGGGCCCACAAGGGCGCTGTTGGAGCGATGGGTGCTTGCTAGACAAGGGCATGGTTGTTGGGCGTGGCGTAACCATCGTAGCTCTGCTGACTTGACCTCTGCCATCTGCCCATGATACAGTTCACTGCGTGCCCACTGCGAGTTACCCACCCGCTGCGTTCGACCTGCTGAGCAGCAGGTTGCCCTGCTGCAAAATAGTGGTGCGCCGCAGGCGTAACAGAATGTTGCCCTTCTGCGACTGCCCGCGCACGGGGCGCGAGCACGTTCTGCGTTGATGCCAGTGGCGACCCGGCCCCAGCGACTGCCCATTCTGCGACTTATTGCGCATGTGGCGACATGGACCCAAGTCGCGACAGTTTTGTTGAAGAGCTCACGCGCCTCGTGAGAGGTGACAACTTTCCAGCAGACATTTGAGAGAAAGCTTTCTCCGCTCATTTGTGGTCGTCGTCCACTGTCTGGTTGGTCGACTCTGTTGTTTCGCCCAATCTGGTGACGGCAGCTACTTGGTCGCATGCCCCAAGCCTTTAGCATCTGCCCCCGACCTGCTTATGAATTTCGCGTCACGTCGTTGTTCGTAAGAGATTGGCCATCAATTTGGTTTGTTGTTGAGCTGCTCTTGGAGAGCGACGTGGCCGCTCCGAATGCCACCCGCGGTGGTTTCGACTTCTGTCGTCTGGCCTCTGACTTGCTCCAGCTGTACGGTTTTGGCGCGTTGTTAGGCTGTCCGGGCGCCGAATGTCGTCTGGAGTTGTCGCACCCTTGCCCAGTTTCAACAAGCATGACTCGTTAGACCTTTGCCTTTCGCAGCACGTGAAAGTAGGTATCGCTCCCATGTATGCGTTGTTGTCACTGCTGACGGTCTCTGGCGCTCTGAACCACCAGGACTTTAACAGTAGCACGAGCGTCAACAACGATGGTTGGCAAGACAACTTGCGGTTGTTCCACCAACTCGGCCATGCGCCGAGACTCTTCAGCGACAGGCCGGGATTGCAGGTCACCGCGCTCGTTGATTGTTCTCGCACGCTCAAGTAAACTCCTGGCTAAAGCTTGGATTTGTTCGTTCTTGGTGAAGACGTTGTTGGAGTTTGGATGTTAGTAATTGTAGCACCACTTGCACATTTGGCAGGCCGTTCGGCAGCACGGGGGCGTGAATTCGACGCTGTTTCGAGGTCCACAATGCGGTCGCGAAATTTGTTTCGCGTTGGCCGACGGCGGCCCTCGCCGCCTCGGATGAAGCATCGGGAATGGTGGCCTCGAGGCCTCGACGTACGCCTCTAACGTCCCCGAGGTTTCCAACTTGGACTGCGGTGGTTGCCACTGCTTTCGTTTGATAACATGTGGTTGGGGTAGCTTCAGCCACTGGGCCAGAGTCCCGTTTACCCTGTGGGTGGTTTTCTGGGCCCTGGCTCACGTATGAATGCGACCACGTTCCCACTCAGAAGTTCGAGCCTGATTACGCCCACCTGCGATCACGAGGGCGGCCGAGAGAATAGAAAGGCAAAAGCCATTCGCAAGCGGAACGACGACGCGGCGAGGGAAGGGAGCGCTGTCGGCGGGCACCGCCTTTCTTACTCGTGGCCTCGCGAGCTGCAGATGCTGCCGCGGGCGAACGTGGGACCGTCAGGAGGAAGGCGTGGAGCACGAGGGGAAGGAAAAAATGAGAGCGGGGGGAGGCCAAGACGGACCAAGGGACCCCCGAACACGCAGCGGGGCCACCGCAGAGCGTGCGCCAAAAACAAAGGGCAAAGCTAACCAGGGGGGGCAGGGGCAGGGAGAAACGAGGACGGAGGAGCTCGGAGCAGCACGAGCGGAGGCAGAACAGAAGAGCTTGCCCCCGAGAGCCAGCGGAAGCCTGGCGGAAGCCGACAGCAGCTTCGCAGAAGCCCGCCGCTTCGAGGACGGCGGCGGAAGGAGGCACAGCGAAGACAAGTGCGGTGGCTGCGGTGGTGGCTGTGCCGGCTGCGACAATGGCCGCAGCGCGCAGTGGCAGACACAGCGCAGCACAGGGACGTTGGAGGAGGCATGGCGGCAAAGTGCCGACAGGCATCAAGGAGGATCGAGGGTGTCATTCTTGCTCCTGCACGGGGGCGCTGCCGAGCGCAGCAGAGCGAAGAGCAAGCTCCAACGTGCAGAATTACGCCCTGGTCTGTCCTCGTCCTCCCCCTGCTGGTGCTCCCGCCGCTGCGCCCGCATCCGCATCCGCATCCTCCCAGTTGTAGTGATCATCCGTCCCCCATCCTGGCAGGCGCGCCGAGGGTGGCAGGGGGAGAGGGAAGGCTTCTTAGAAGGAGGCTGCTTCTTAAAGGCGCCGGCCCTACATCTCCAGACATGGCCCGCGCCTTCCAAGAGGCAGGGGTGCGTCTAAGAAGAAGCCTTCCCCCCTCCCCCTCCTGCGCGTGGCCGACCACTGCAAGGACGCACGACCCTTCCCCTCTCGAATCCAGACACGACCTGGATCCGTACACGCTACGGATGGGAGGTCCAGCTCCTGCGTCGGCGGGCCACAGAATGGATCAGCGGCCAGCCGTGGCGAAACATCCTCCGATGCAGCTTGCATCCGAGAGGCGAAACGACGTCTGCGAGCAGAGCGCCAGGAGATACGGAACAAGAGCTCAAACTCGGGCGAACATCGCAGCGAACGCGCACCCACAGCGCGGTCCTATACATCACCAGGACGGTGACAAGAACCAGCAGCACCAGCGCGACTTTCACCAGGACCTGGCGGCCGATAGGGGTGCGCAAAAGGACGAAACGCCCCGCCTCCTCCTCCTCCTCCTCCTCCTCCTCCTCCTCCTCCTCCTCCTCCGCCTTCCCATTCCCCAACCCCCCACCCCCCACTCCCCACTCCTCACTCCCCACTCCCCACTCCCAACTGCTCTCTCCTCACTCCTCACTCCTCACTCCTCCTCCTCCTCCTCCTCCTCCTCCTCCTCATCCTCCTCCTCCTCCTCTTCTCCTCTTCTCCTCTTCTCCTCTTCTCCTCTTCTCCTCTTCTCCTCTTTCTCCTCCGCCTCCTCCTCCTCCTCATCCTCCTCCTCTTAGTATTATTATTATTATTATTATTAGTAATTATTAATTATTATTAATATATTATTATTATTATTATTATTATTATTATTATTATTATTATTATTATTATTATTTATTATTAATTATTATATTATTATTATTATTATTATTATTATTATTATTATTATTATTATTATTATTATTATTCGTACTCTCCTCCTCTCCTCCTCCTCCTCCTCCTCCTCCTCTCCTCCTCCTCTCCTCTCCTCCTCCTCCTCCTCCTCCTCCTCCTCCTCGGTTCCTTCCTCCTCCATTCCCCCCCCCCTTTTGGGATACGACGGCTCCCGTGCCTTTCTCACTCTGCGTGCTCTCCCGCCATTACACATGCACGTCAACCGGATGGCCCGAGGGCCACTAGACACTGGAAGCGTAGCAAGAGCATTGAGGGCACAGCACTGGAAAGGGTGGGGGGCGCGGGCAGAAGCCCCGAGGGGGTGAAGCACTCCACCCGCGCACCGAAACCATGACGCAAGGGCCGTCCACGGCGGCACCAAAACCGAAAAAAGCGGCCGAACTGGCGACGAAACCGAAACCGAATCAAGCAAACGCAGCTGAGAAGGACGCAGCGACACAGCAACGACGCGACGGCGGACAGAAACGAACTGGCCAAACGCAATCGACTGCGACGCAGCCGAACCCACCGAATCGTGGGCACCGTTGACGGCGCGGGTCGCGGGGCCAGTCTCGGGCTTCTCGGGCCTCAGAGGGCTGGAGCTCGAAGGACCTCAGAGCGGCCTCGGGCGACATCGGCGGACCTCGGCTGGTCAAGATCCATCAGCATTGAATCGGGAAGTCAGATTGAATCGGAACGAGCACCAAATCGAGCTGCATCGATTCGGAGTCAAGACCGAAGCGGCTCGGCTGCCCCAGGGCCGCACCGGACCGCAGGAAGACCGAAATCCAATTGGAGACGGCCGGCCAAAGCCAGTCGAATCGACGCGGGTCCTGATGGGCCCCGTGACCACTTCAAATCATACCCCCCCCCAAACCGTCCAGACCCCGCAGTCGTCCAAGAGCCTGGCGCGGCCGTCCTTGATCGAGGCCTACTCCTCCTCCTCCTCCTCCTCCTCCTCCTTCTTCCTCCTCCTTATCCTCCTCCTCCTCCTCCTCCTCCTCCTCCTCCGCCTCCTCCTCCTCCTCCTCCTCCTCCTCCTCCGCCTCCTCCTCCTCCTCCTGCTCCTGCTCCTGCTCCTCCTCATCCTCCTCCTCCTCCTCCTCCTCCTCCTCCTCCTCCTCCTCCTCCTCCTCCTCCTCCTCCTCCTCCTCCTCCTCCTCCTCACTCCTCCTCCTCCTCCTCCTCCTCCTCCTCCTCCTCCTCCTCCTCCTCCTCCTCCTCCTCCTCCTCCGTCCTCCTCCTTCCGACCCCTCTGGTTCCTCGGGTTCCTCCTCCTCTTCTCCTCCTCCTCCCTTCCTTCTCCTGTCTCCTCCTCCTCCTCCTCCTCCTCCTCCTCCTCCTTTCTCCTCCTCCTGTCTCCTCCTCCTCCTCCTCTCTCCTCCTCCTCCTCCTCCTCCTCCTCCTCCTCTACCTCCTCCTCCTCCTCCTCCTCCTCTTCTCCTCCTCCTCCCCTCTCCTCCTCCTCCTCCTCCTCCGCCTCCTCCTCCTCCTCCTCCTCCTCCTCCTCCCTCCTCCTCCTCCTCCTCCTCCTCCTCCTCCTCCTCGGGAGGCGGCCGGGCCTGCCCCACGGTCCGGTTGAGGTTCTGCCGCTGGTCCTGGGCTGCGACGCCCTCGCCGTCCTCGTCCTGCGCGGGGCGAGTGGTCGCGCAGTGTCGGCGCGGCGCCGCTGCGAGGGACCGATCTCGAGAGCGAGTGGAACTCTGGAGGCCTGGACATGTGCACCAACCCCAACACAGGAGCTCCTTCTGGCGACATCTCGCCTCGCCTACCAGCCGCCGTCGTCGTCGTCGTCGTCGTCGTCGTCGTCGTCGTCGTCGTCGTCGTCGTCGTCGTCGTCGTCGTCGTCGTCGTCGTCGTCGTCGTCGTCGTCGTCGTTTGCCGGCGGCGAGTAGGGGGGAGGAGGGGGGGGGTCGAACCCCCCCCGGGGCTCTTCTGGCCAGGGCCGGCCCTGGTGCCGAAAGGGACTCCGAGGCCCAGATCTGGAGAAGCGGCCCGAGGTCCAGAGCACATCCTCTCGGTGGTTTAAAGATGGTTGGAGGCTTGGACATGGGCACCAACACCAACACAGGGGGTGGCCTCCTCAAGGGGGAAGAGGATCCCAGATTTCGGTGCTGGTGGCAAGATGTCGGCCCCCTTGGAGGCCAGGATATCACCACCGTCACCGGGATCGGGCTCGTCTTCCCTCGGTGGAGGCACACCGCCGAGATTGGTGTTGGTGTCAACCTCTGGGCCTGCGATTCGAACTGGACCGGGAGGCGGGCCCGAGGCAAGGCGGGAACACGTGGGGCGTGTGTTGGGGATGCCCCTGGCCAGGTCGAGAGTCCCTCTGAAGCAGCGCGTGGTCCCCCGGGGCAGCTCGAGGATCAGAAGGTGAGGATCGGGACCCTCCGAGCCAGTTCCTCCGACCACCGACGCCTCCTGTCGCAGCGTGCGCCCCCGGGCGTCGCGCAAGGCGAACAAGCGCGGCGCACGTCTTTTTGTTTCTGGCAGGCCCGAGGGTCTGCGCAGAGACTCCCGAGGCAGCTCGAGACGCTCCGAGACGGCCCGAGGCCACCGTCGATCGAGAGGCAGAGGTGTCCTGTCCGCGAGCACTGCATGCCACCGCAGCAGAGTTGCGCCGCGTCGTGAAAGTGAGGATCGCCTGGCGGCCAACGAGCAGGATGCACTGCGCACAAGCCCGTGGACAGGAATGGCTCGTCGATCGGAGGTCCGACGAGAACGGGTGAGGGGGCAGAGCGGGGCGGAGCCTCCCCGAGCGACTCGTACCTGCCGCGCTTCAGGCAGCGCAGGCTCGTCTTGACCTGCGAGGGGGCGCGAGGCCCGTGCAGGCCCAGGAGGCGCCGTCGAGCGTTCGCCGAATCAATCATGCATGCGGGCGTGCGCGATTCGAACAGCCAGCTGATTGATGCGGGGGCAAGCTGAAAAAAGAGCAGGATGCAGACCCCATGGAAGGTGGGCGTGGCCAAGGCTGGACAACTGGCCGGGGCCGACACGAGCCCGAAGCAGCTGGAACCAGGCGGCAGGAGGCACTGGAGGGAGACTGGCCAAGGCTGCAAAGAGTAAAGCAGGGCTGGCCCCCGCCATCCTGCTGTGCACCTTCCCTGCTGCTTACCCTTCTGCACGTCGAGTGAGGCGATCGCTGCTCACTCGACGCGAAGGCGGGCCCCTGGCGCCCGCCGGCGCACGGCCGGGTCCGTTCGCGAGCACCGAGGATTGCGGCTTTTTTGGGTGCTTCTCGCGCCCGTGGGCCTCGCAGAAGCTCCTCGCCGCCGCGGCTAAGCTCCCCCCGAAGGCCCTGTCGGAGCGCACCCATAACAAGGTCCCGAAATCGGGCCACCCGACCAAACAAACATCTCGCCGAAGGTTCCTCACCCTGTCTGGCGAGTGGGGCCCGCGTCCAACGCCCAGGACCATCAAGAAACGACTCGAGATGAAGAATTGGTCCTGGGTCGGGTGAACCAAGTGCGGGGGGGCCGCAAAGATAAAATCAGGTGTCTGAGTGCGACTCTTTGTTCTGAGATATCCAACTTTCACAACCACTATCATTATTATATATCCCCTGTTGCTCGCACTTGCTGCCCACAGAGGCATTCGAAGCCAGAAAATCGGGTGTGACACCGCCGCTTGCGAAATAAACGTCCACCAATAAAAGCGCCGAAATGGCCCACCCGACACCCCTCATTTCAAATTTAGCGAACGACCGCGCTGAAAAAGCGCGTCGAGCTACGAAATAAAGGCCCACCCTCGCGAAGCGCCCACCGCTTCCGCATCAAACTTGAAATTCGAAATCGAGGGGGCGTTCCGATGCCTTGTTGCCTAGACCCGACGCGGGCGTTTTGTTCGAAACCAGCGGTAGTGTCACAATTTCGCCGCCAGACAAACCCAAAACGGTCCAAGACCTGCCCAAGTTTGTCCGCCACGGTCCTGGACAGCACCACAAAGAATCCAGGAGGCCCTGGCACCAGTCCAAGGACACAAGACGACACAGGGTCAAAAAGGGCTAACGGCAGGGCTGCCCTTGGGCACCCAAAAAAATTGAAGCACGTGAACCTTTTTTCCAATCGTCGCCTCAAAGACTGAACACATTTGCTTGTCCGCCGGCCGAATGACGTCACCGCAGCGGACGATTGAAAGGGGCACGATGCACTGACCACTCACACACAAACAAACAAACAAAACAAACAAATAAGCAACCAAGAAGGCTAGCAATCAAGCAAGCAGGCAAACAAGCAAACAAAAAACAAGACGGCATAACCTATCTGCGCAGCTTCGTACCCACAAGTCGCTGTTCGGGACTCCTGCATATGGCGGAACCCCGCAGTGCGTCCCCGCGCTCCCCACTATAGCGGGCGGCACGCAGCAGCCTGAATACAAAATCAATTAAAAGAAACAGTCTCCCCCTTTTGTGCAAATTTGGAACGCACTCTGCGGCCTGCGTGTGTTCACCCGCGAAACGACATCCTTTCCGCTCCGGACAAGGACTCCGACCACGAATCCTACTGCGAAAAGCATATGAACTCCTGATCGGAAACACGTAACGAGAAATACCGGATTCCTGCTCCACTGCAAAACCCGACTACGACCATGAGGAACCCTGGAGAGGCCTGACGACCCCCGACGAATCCAGAGGAAGTCCGATGAACCCCACGGAAGCCTCTGGATCCCTGACAAGCCTTGCGGGCCCTGAATAATCCTGACGAAACCTCAGGAGTCCTGGAGGCTCCTGCAGGAAAAACCTGAGAAGATCCTCAGCAATCTTGATGAGCCCCGAAGAATATTACGAACCATGGGGGATGCGAAGAAAGAACACTGGGGAATCCTCAGGAATCCTCTCGGGTCCTGGAAAAACTGAAGAAGCCTCAAACATCCTGACTACCCCCTAGGTAGCCTAAGCAGTTCTGGAAAGTCCGAATGCACCCTGAAAATAAAGGGGAGCCTGGGACCCTGAGGAAGACCCTGAGGAACCCCAAGGACCCTTGAGGAATCGATCGCTAAGAGTGCTAAGCGAAGAAACCTGGAGAAATCACGATGGTACCCTTACGAACCCTGAGGACGTCTGCAGAATCCTGAGGGCTGCTGAGGGCTCCTGAGGTATCCTGGGAACCCCTCAAAGCCCCCCACAGCGTCAAGTGCGAGGGGCACCGACTCCTTCAGCATTCACAGCACATGGTTTCCAATGTCGTTTGGGAAAAGACGCGAATTGAATGTGTACATATACATACATACGTACATGCATCTATACATGCATACATACATACATACATGCATACATACATACATACATACATGCATGCATGCATGCATGCATGCATGCATGCATACATACATACATACATACATACATACATGCATACATACAGACATACATGCATGCATGCATGCATGCATGCATACATACATACATACATACATACATGCATGCATGCATACATACTTACATACATACATACATACGTGCATACATACATACATGCATGCATGCATGCATACATACATACATACATACATACATACATACACACATGCATGCATACATACATACATACATGCATGCGTGCATGTATACATGCATGTATACATGCATACATGTGTATAGCATGGTTCCTGTGTTTTGCAACATGCACAGGGTATCATCGACGTACAGGACAGCGTCAAAGCTTCCACCGGGCAAACGATGCGGGCCGAGCCGTTTTGTCAACGCTGCTCTGAACATCTAGGACACGAGTGATCCTCACAACCTGAATACAGCACGGCGATAAAGAGCCCCCTCGTCTTATGTCCTTTCGTGCTGTTCGTACCACGACGCCTCCGCCCCTTTCCATGTCGACATTTAACTGCGTGACGCGGTAGATGCCATCCATGTACTGATTTGATAAGCATGGGGTGCACACTCTGGCGGTCCATTGCGGTCCAGAGACTCTCGCTCTCGCTACCTCACCGAACGCTTTTTCCCCAATCGAACAGAACCATCAGCACCTCGAATCGTCACACGCAGTGAAGGGCGTGCAGTGTGCTCTTGCGCCGTCGAAGGCAAAACTGCGTGAGGTGGACGTGCGGGTCGATGTGTTCCCCCAATATAAATATACATAGGTATACACACGTGCACAAACATATGCCCATTTATTGGAGGTCTGGTTTGAAGGTTGGTGAAAACAGAGAGGGACAGGACTGGATGCTATCACTGCAAGTAATTGCGCAAAATAAACGACATTCGGCCGTTGATTCTCTCGCGAATATCTAATCATGTTGTTCTGGCGAGGGCTGGGCAAATGCCCCAGTCGCACGTCGCAAATCCGAAGCAGACCACACAGCAACATTACGAATCAGCCGCTCGATTCTTTGATACGACGTCCTGTGAGCAACCCTGATGGCGCTCCACAAACTTGGTCTCACCACAGAGGCAGAAGGCGTTCACGACAACCGTGGGCGAAATCAGCGTTTGATATGGAGAGGTCGGTCTGTACGATGTCGTTTCTCGTACGGCTCTCCATCCCCTTCTCCCTCCGCCTCTCCCCGCCTCACTGCGCTGGTAAGCGGCGCGCTGGCACCAGCCGAGTCAAAAAAAACCCTGCCCTGACAAACCGTTTCAGAGCGGCTTGCCGGGACAAACCACTCCGAGCCAGGTTTGAGCCAGGCGATGTTAATCACTCTTCTCCTCCTCTTGCTCCTCTTGTTCCTCCTCTTCCTCGTCTCTCCTTGCGTGGCGTGCGTTGTCTTCACTTTCGCAGTCACGGGGCACTGTATTGTCCAGCCGGGCGAAAGGGGGGGACAACAAAGGGGGGCTTGAGAATCAGCTCACGTAGCTGATTTTCCCGGCGCCTCCCGGCGCCGGAGGCGGCTATGTATCGAGGCGTGGGCCCCTCGGTGGCGGGGCCGAAACCAGCTGCATGCAGCAGATTTCGTGATCCACCCCTTTCCCAATCCCCCCCTTTCGCCCGGCCCGATCTTGGTTCACAGGTCGCGATGCGCTCCGCGGCTCTGCGTCAGTTGTGATGCGCTCCATGTTCCGTCGGCCTCGCACGCTCGCGGCCCGGAGGGACGGGCGGGCACCAAGGGCGGGCGGCCCGGGATGGGGCGGGGCGGGGTCGAACGGGCGGGCCCTCGCGGGCGGCTCGTCCAAGCTGGCCCTGTCGGGCGGGTCGGGGGGGCGGGATCTGCAAGCGCGGGTTGCCGGATGCACTTTGGGGAGGCACCGGGCAAGCGCGCGATTCCTGAGCCATCCGCAGTGGAGTCCTGGACGAGGATGCAGTTCCTGAGCAGCGCGAGCGCGATTCATGATCGAATTGCGAGGGAGTCCAAAGCGCGGGCACCATTCCTGAGCAGCGAATGCGCGGCGCCTGGGCAGATGGATAGAAAATTCCAGGGACCAGCGAAGTCTCGAGCGAGAGCGCGATTCCAATATTTTCGTGAGGACTTGTCAGCCGGGAGTCATCGCTGCTGTAGTCTAGGGGCCAGGGGGCAGTTTGAGCCCCAAGGTTTTCCCAGGCAAAACAAAGACAGGGTTCGAGCGTCGATGGTGGCAATTCAGACGAAAGATTCTACAATGGCCTGTGGGGGGAGGGGGCAACCATAATTCATGATTCCGGAACGGGAGCTCAACAACAACAACAACAACAACAACAACAACAACAACAACAACAACAATTACTAGCACGTGGGGACACTCCGTTCTCACCAGTGCCAGGGTTTTCATAGGAGGCGGGCAATACCCCCACTTTGTGGGGGGGCCGGTTCAAGCTCTACCAATTTCCAAACGACTCTTCGCCACCACCCACACCCAGCTTCCCGCCCTATGACGTTCGGACACTTCACT